CATTTCATCCACCTTATCAGACAGCTCATAGCTAGATCACATTTGTATGTGTGTGTGTGTGTGTGTGTGTACATACGCACCTAGTACAAATACTAAACTAAGCCATATGAAACTTGCTGCCTTTATAAATCAAAAGCTATGATATACTGGCAGTTTCATATAATTGGACCTAATGTAAATATGTTCTTGAACTGTTGTTCTTTACTCAAGGTAGAGCACTGGCCTAGCATATATGAGGCCCTAGGTTTGATCCCCAATTCATTTAAAAAGAAAGAAAAGAACCCCATTGTGCTAATTTTCCCACATGTACATTTCATGACGCAGAACCTTTTGATGGAACTAATACCGCCAGAGCTGTGCATGAGAAGCAGAAGTTTGATATGATCAAGGATCAATTTTTAAAGGTAAACAGTGTACCATGTTGACTCTAAAGATGTTAGTGGACTAGTGTGTTTTAAAATGAAAAGAATAAAGTTATGAAAAATAAAGTCACTAATGTGACAGAAAGAAGAATTTATGACTTGAATTTAGATGAATTTTCCTTCAGAGAGAGCTAACTCTGTTTTTCCTTTATGAGTTTCACTTTTGTGGAAACAACATTTTTAATGAGGAGCTTATTAAATTCACAAATGACTCAATAATGGACTACCAATGGATCCCATGGATATTTTTAAAAATCTAAGGGCATTTATCAGAGAAAGGACTTGATGTGCGAACCATGCCCTTTTCCTTTTCTGCTGCTCCCCCCATGGCATTTTATCTTATGTATGTTTTGAAGCTTTAAAGATGTATGCATGTGTTTGTGTCCACAGTCATCCATCGGTAGTCTGACTAGATGAGGTACCTGTTTGCAATGAATGGCAGTATGAAAATGCATTGGCAGAAAGAGATGTGTAAGAACTAGAAGTGGAGGCTTCATAAGGAGGGAAAGGTCAGAACATGGGGACTGTAGAGATAATTGTGTCTTCATTATTTGGACACACAGACAGACTTTGATGTAATTAAAATGCAAGCAGTGTGTTGCAAGTTCTCTGCAAATTGGGCCTTGCCTTACAACAAGCAAAGTGGAGCGTGCTTTTCCTGTTGCTCACTTGTCCTTGGTAGTGAGTGAGCTTCCTTTAGATTATTTAACTGTCAAGCCAATACTTTTAGTTACTTGAACAACTAATATGCTCATAAAGTTGTGACCTGGAGTTTTGGCATATGCATGAGAATTGTAGTCTTTTCTTAGGAACTCTTTCAGTATTTTTCAGGGCAAATACAGAGTTTTACATTTACTCTTGCCTTTATAAAAATACTGTTTTCAATCATAAAAGCTACAAAACAAAGTCATTTTTCCCTCTTAAATTCAGATAGAGTACTTTGCTATTTTAGATGAAATAGTACAATCTGTAAGTGATGTTGCTATTGTCACATAGCTCTTTGTGCCACCTGTGTACCCATTTTTAAAAAATAATAGAATATTAAATAATTGTTTCTTTTCTGGGAAATAATTACCTTGGGAAATAAAAATAAGAAACATAATGTAGACTTCTACTTAGATAGGATCACCACTAATATTCTTTTAATTCTTTGAATTCAGTCTTTTGTTCTGTGTTTAGTTTGTATTCTAATATTGATTTTTTTTCCTTCCCTTTCCTAGTCATGGCAGAGATTGAAAAACAAGAGAGATCTGAACAGTGTTCTACCTTTGAGAGCTGCTACCCTGAAAAGATAACTGGTCTCTATTCTTAAATCTTCCAAGAAATAAAGAACAATAGATATATCGTAATTCATTTGGTTTACCTCCATCATGGTTTATTTTTAATGTTCTTGTTTTCATGTTTTATTTTTAAAAAGACATACTTATATAAAGATTGCATATTTTATTACGACATTTCCTAATAAACTCTTTGATTTAAAAATGTATTTTTGAAAATGTTTACATCAATGATTAGTAGTATTATAGCATGATTTTTCAGCACAAAATATATTTTGACAAATTACCTGAACTAATAAGGTTTTGATATATTCTCAAGTCCTTGTACCATCTGTGTGTACTGATGAACTCTGTGGAATTGTGCAAAGCGTCTAAGTAACGCGTACTTAGTGTGACTGACTGGCAGTGGACAGTAGTCTAGCTCAGTGCTAGTCAAGTAAAGATTCAAGCCAGTTACTCAGTGACTTGAAGCAAATGAAATCTTTGAGTGCAGTCACTGTGGAGTCTTGAAATACTGGACAATTGCCTTAAGTCTTCACTTGACTCCCTGGGACGGACGGATGGACGGACGGACGGAGGTGTGTCTGTATAGTGTGTTGATTAGCACTTCACACCTCGCTCTGATAGACTCTGGAGTTCGCTTTAGATTTTATGTTGAAATAATACACTTTGCACTGTTGTAATGGGAGCACTAACAGCAGTTAGTGACTTATTATGGACTATTTCAAAGTCTCCGACTTAGATATTTTGGAAAAACTGGAGTTTCTTATGCTTTCTGACAGCACAGTGAACTGTGCACTGTTGCTTCACCTCCGATTTCCTGGTTTTATTTTCCTCATGATAGGAAACAGAAGAAAACTGAAACATCAAAGTTAAGATTATATCCTATTTGTAGAATCAGATTTCTGTGGATTATAATCTAAACTGGAATTTTTAGCCAGTAAGCCACTACAAAGTGTTTTAGATAAGACAATAAAGTTATAAATAAAAGTTTAATGTTTATACAGAAATCTTTTTTAGTATTTCTTTTCCACATGAGAGTAGTAGTTCAGATACAAGCTATGCTGTTAAATAAGATTGTTTTTAGTTTATGTAAATACTTGTAAATTGGTCAGTACTTGTACATTTAAATATAAAAAAGTAATCTTGAAGGCGGTTTTAACTTTTTCACAGACTGCAAACTTCTTGTAGGCCTACAATGGTACAGTTTGTACCACTAAATTATTTTTTGCAGACCAATTAAAAAACTAAAACTTCCGCTTTGACTTACAAAGGGTGCGTATTTTCTTTTTAAGTTTAAATTTTTGTATGCTGTCAAATGGAATAAAGTTTATATCTGGAAATTGTTGAGGTGTTATTTTTCTGTGGAAGTTGTTTTGTAATGAGATTGAGGCTGCAGTCATCTTAACTGATCTGAACCTAATTGTGCTTCATTGTTCAATACACAGAGCCCCTGGGATGAAGTTCATCTGTGGCTTGCATGTGAACCACATTATTTCTCTGGCATAACTAGGAATAGAGCTTTTTATATGGGTCAGTTTTTAGAATATTGATCTGTAGTACTTTTGATGCAGTAATAATTTTTATATATGAATTTTTTTCTTGGAAATATTCCTAAGATTTATTCCACATTGTGCAGCGCTTTCTCAGAATGTATTGAGTAGGATAGTTCAATGTGACCCCAGGTAATGTTTATAAATCGTAGTCCCTTGGGGATGGGTGTTCTACTCCGAAGCGTTATGGCATTTAATAAAGCCTCAGACATTGTCATAGCTGTAGCATGGACTCTTGAATTGCCACCATGTTCTGTTTTGAGTGGCCCTACTCTCCTAGTCAGCTGATTTGTTGTAACAAATAGACCAAAAGGCTAATATATTTGCATCCTGGAACTAATGGATCAGCACTTAAGATCATATACTCATGGCAGGACAGCCATATCAGGTAAGTGGGCTGTTAACATATGAGACAGGTTTTTTTGTTTTGTTTTTCGTTTTTGTTTTTTAATTTTATTTTCAGTGCTGGGGATTGAACACAGCCTGCGTCTGCTAGGCAGGTGCTCCATCCATCGACCTATTTCCCCAGCTGGAGACTTCAGTTCTTTTCAATTTCAATTTTGTGTGAATACTACATTTTTTGTTTGTATGTGCTGTTAAAATAGTGTTAGTATTAAACATGTGGACTCTGTAAATCTAAATTTTGAGTTCGTTTGAAATAGGGTCTTGGCAAGATCGGTGGTAAAAGCTGCTGCCGATGTGCACCTCTTTGTCCTCGGACCCAATGTACAGCATACAAGCTGGTGTAACTGGAGAATAGCACCCTTATTTCCCATCTCGTTTAACAAATCGACAACATTTGTAAATCGAATCTGCGGTGAAAATAAAGGTTTGGAAATCGATCTAGCCGAAACGTCTTTCTCAGGAAAGAATACTTTCTAGCCGTTGTACTAAACAGGTCTCGGCCTTTTCAGAAACGTTCATTAGCTTATAAGAACTAGATGGTGTGATAAAGAGAAACAGAAACAATCTACTGGGTATCAACATACACAAAAGACTGCTTTGAGTTCCTGGAGAGGAGCAGTGAATTCAAACCTGGGGATATCAGAGAAAGGTGGTGATCTCGAACAAGTGAACGAACGGGTGGGCCTTTCAGACAGAATTCATTTGACACAGTGTAAATACCCTATTTCTAAAAGTGGATTAATCAGGATTTGATCTCTAGAGGATCTTGGGCTTTAGTCCTAGAGCAGTGGTTGAGAGGTTAAGCGCTGGCTTTACTTGATCCAATGAGATCTTAGTCCCTTCGGGTGCTGCTACTTTGTTTCCATTGTCACTGTACTAGTAGTGGAACCTTGCTTAAGCTATCTACAAACCGGCACTCTAAAGTCATCTTCTCAGGAAGAAGGGAAACAAGACCCTGGCCGAGTGCTGTCTGGTATGTCTTAAAGCATGCCACAGCTCAGCTAGAGGTGTAAGAACTGCAGTAGACGGAAGGCTGGGCTGGTGGGTCCTTCGACGCCCAGAGGCAGCCCTCAACACTGTTCTCTGCCCTGACCCCAAAGGCCGCCGAAGATCTGCCAAAATAGGCGGGGAAGTTGGCAGGCGACGGGAACCAGGGGAAGCTGAGCCCGGGCTGCAGAAGCTCCGTGGCGAAACTTTCTTGACGCCTTCTATTTAAAGGCTTGGGGCGCCCCCGCCCCGCGCGCCGGGAACCCAGGCAGCAGCGCTGGCCCGGGCAAAGTGCAGTCAGACGGAGAACATCGGGCGAGGCGTGGGCAGCTCCGACTCCGGCCAGGACAGGCGCGATGGCGAGCGGCGATAGCGGACTCACAACCCAGGGCTTCCTTGGATGGGGTGCAGACGAGGAGGTGGCCCAGGAGCTGGAGACGGAGGAGGAGTCGGAGGGGGAGGAGACGGCGGCCGAGTCGGAGGAGGAGCCCGACGCCAGGTAGCCTGAGCGGGTACCGCCCCAGGCCTAGCAAAGCTGTCCACCCCTAAGTGTCCCGCCGGGCAGCTGGCCGCCCCTGAGCCTTTACCTTTCCCTTTCCAACCTCAGAAGTTCATTTCCCCAGAGCCAAGCTCTCTGTCTGGGGCGCGCCGCCTTCTTTAAAAACTCGAAGGTGGAAGGTTCTTGCTGTCAGCAGGAGTGACAGGTCCGCCTGCAGCAAAGTTCACAGTCGGCCCCCACCCCCTCCCGCACCCCCGCCTCCCAGCTCCTTGTGACTTGCTCGTTTATTCTTGGAGACTTACTTGGGGTTCTGCCTAACCGCAAAACTGTGCTGGAATGCTTGCCTGGCTCCCCGCCCTGGATCTATCTTGCCTGCCTGAGCTTGGGGAAGGGTCTGGAGTTACAGAAGGCTCTATCCATTACCTTCAAAGGTATGGCAGCCTCCTAGAGTTCTAGCGCTGGGCTAGTTTGCTCTATGGAAACTATTTTGGTGCAAACATCTCATCCACTCCTTAGAGGAAAGCATCATGAAGGCCAGGTGTGGGTGGCCTGCCTCTGTGATTCCAATAATAGAAAGGCAGAAGCAGGAAGACCGTGATTTCGAGGCCAGCTTGGCTCTCCTGGGAGATGTTTCAGCAACTTCTGTCCTAAAAATCGTTCTGGTCCTAAATGTCTATCAATAAGGCGAGTGAGATTAAGTGATACTATATACATATGTGCGTGTGTGTGCGCGCGCGTACACACACACACACACACACACACACACACGCGTGCGCGCTCCACTTTGTCCCTTTATATCCAGCCCTAAAATGAGAGTAGTGGTATGGATGTTTTGTTTCATCCTAAGCATGTGTCAGTCAATGGCATCTCTTCCTGGATACTCCTATAGAAGGCTTTGGGGATGGCAAGTGAAGGTTTATCATTTCAGAATGGCCAACCAAGACCAGAACTGCTCAAGCTGGAGTAGCCCAAGACTGGCTTTGAAGGTCAGGGAGATGGCTCTGCTGGTAATGTGCTTGCCTTGTGAGTACAAGGACCATAGTTTAATCCCCAGTTCCTATGATCAATGCCTGAAGTACTGATGAAAAGCCCAGCATGGTGGCTTGTGCTTGTTATCTCTGTTAGGGAGCTGGAAACATAGAATCCCTGGGGCTCACTGTCCTGTCAGCCTCACCTATTTAGTGAGTTCCAGGCTGTGGTGATGGCATTTTCTTTTTTAAGGTAAACTGTACATGAGGACTAGGTCTCCACATGCATATACATGTGGTCCCATGTACATGGATAGGGTACTGCCAATTACAGAAAACCATCAGTTGGAAGTCTTGAAACATTGGTTACATTCTTTACAAGCAACTATCAAGAAGGAAACAAGCTCTACCCTCAAGAATTTTGAGGGAAAAGAGAAATTATGAGGACCTGACTATATGCTAAGAAGACTTTATGTTAAAGACTTTGAGTGGAGAAGATAAACACTGTACCGTGGAAGGTCAGAGTGAGGGCAGAGCATTGAGAATCATGGAGCACTGGCTACAGACTGAATATCAGAAGATGGGCAGGAGATGCATAAAGGAAGGGCAGAGGAGAGGGTGCCTGTGGGAAATGGGAGAGGGCATAGGAGGAGCCGCAGCTCCAGGCATGTAGAGAAGAGATTCTCACAGTAACCTGCGGGATAGCCATATTCTTGCCCAGCCAATATTTTCCAAAAGAACGAGAAGCTCATCTACACTACAGTCGGGTCATCTGACAGTTTCAAGCACCACTTCTAAGTTGCCCTTCGCCAAAAGCTAAGACCATCTAGTGAGGACTTACTACATCTGGGGTAACCTCATCCCCTTCTGACTGTAGACAATAATGTAGCCACTGCAAAGAAACACCTCTGAACAAGCCAAGGGGACTAAGGTAGGGGGTGACGGAGACCTGGAAAGCTGTCCATGTTTGAGCTAGACATTGAGTAACTCAACAGGACTCGAGAGCACAGACTACAGTCATAGAGAAGCTGCCTGACAGGCAGACAGTGAAGTTGAATGTTAGAATCTATGAAGAGGCCGCATAAAGGAAGCATGGACCATGATGGGGTACTAGGAAGGCAGTGGTAGCTTTAATTAGATGTAGGGGTCCTATAGCTCTCACACTTCCGTGTGGTCAGGAATCAAACCACTTCATTGTGTGAGAGATTATAAACATGGCCTGAAGTTCCATGTTCCTCTGAGGATGGAAGTGAGAATTTGGAATAGGTTCTAATGGGTAGAAGAGGATCACCCGTCAGTTCAGCACATAGGTTTACACTCAGAAGAGAGCCTTGTGCCAGGCACAGTACCAAGCATTTCCCTGTGTTACTTCATGTTAAACTCTCCCAGCGGGAGACTCTCCAGCAGGATGAGGAGACCATTGTTCTGTTCTGGAGGAAAAAACTGGAGCCTCATACCATTCACTGAGAATAAAGAAGCAAGAACTTGTAAGATACAGTGTGAGCCAGCATGTGTATGCAGCAAGTTAGGAGGCTTGGACCAGTCTTTGTTTTAAGGAGAGGTCCTTCCTTACTCTGGGGCAGCATTCTCAACTTGTGGGTCAAACGACCCTTTCACAGGGCACCTAAGACTATCAGGAAACACAAATATTTATATTATGATTCATAACAGTGGCAAAATTACAGTTATGAATGAAATGAAAATTTTATGGTTGGGGTCTCCACAACATGAAAAACTGTATTAAAAGAGTCACGGAGTTAGGAAGGTTGAGAATCGCACTAGGGAAACAACCCACTCAGCTTTACTTTGAGAGATGTCTAGAGAAAAAAGGAAAACCTCGTCTCTGAACCATAGTAGGTTTTCATCCTGCTTAAACACAGAGCTTGTGTAGGTTTTCTGATAGGCACAAAACTACAGTTACAAATCTCTCTCTCTCTCTCTCTCTCTCTCTCTCTCTCTCTCTCTCTCTCTCTGTGTGTGTGTGTGTGTGTGTGTGTGTAGAAGCCAGAGGTCAATGTTGCTTCTCTGGCTTGTTCTCTACCCTGCTTCCTCAGTCAGACTCTCTCACTGAACCTGGAGTCCACTTGTTTAGCTAGGACGCCTGGCCAATGAGCTCCAGAGATCTACTGCCTCTGCTAGAGTGACAGATGGCATTGCTGTGACCAGCTTTTATGTGGAGGCTAGGGACCTGAAGTGGGGCGCTCTTACTCGCACAGCTGGCACTTCATCAACGGAGCCATCTCCCTAGCATTATAAATTAAGTTTTGAAATTGAGAAGCATAATCAAGTTTAAAAATAAAAGCAGTTAACAGAAGTGGATGGTAGGTACATTTATTTGATATGATCTTACTACACCACAATATGATCGTAGAATAATATAAAATGATGTTGTACTGGTTAAAACTTTGTTAACTTGACACAAGGTAGGATCATTTAGAAAGAGGGAAACTCAGTTCAGAAAAGATCTCCCTCACAATGGTCTGTGGCAGGTTTTCTTGATTGATGACTCACGAGGGATGGCAAGGTGGCCATGGCTGTATATGAAAGCAGGCCAAGTAAGCCACGGAGCAAGAGCAAGCCGTTTAGCAGCGCTCTCTGGTTTCTGCTTAGTTCCTGCCTCCAGGTTCCTGCTTGAGTCCTGCTCTGACCTCCTTCAATGGAGTGTGATTAGTAAGCTTTTCTCCTCAGACTGATTTCGGTCGTGGTGTCTATCACAGCAACAGAGAGCAAACTAGGACGGATGTCACACATAAAATATACTAGAAAAAGCTTAAGCGATTAAGGTTTAACAAGGTTGGTAGTGTTTATTTCTGAGTGCGGAGATAATGGTCAAGGAGACCTTTGAGCTCAGGCTGTTTTCCGTGAATGCGTATGTCGAATTTCCTACCTTTATGATCAACAAAAATATCCCTCCTAATGATAAAAATGCTGCTGACACTCAGAAAGCTCATCGTCATCATGAAAGGAACCAGGTCTTTTCCTGGCCGCTGGTTGCCGTCTCATGCTAGGCAAGTGCTCTACGGCTATGCTGCTGGCCCCAGGGCAGTACTAGTTCCTAGTTATTAGGCTGTCAAAGGATTAAATAACCGAGAAAGTGTGAGGGCAAACCTCACTCTCAAAAGCTCCCAGCACAGTTTAGTTTCTTAGCAGCTCTCAGGTAGGTCATTTCCAGAAGCAAAACTCCACCTCTGCCTGCCATTCATCAGTGAGGGGAAAGAGACGGTGGCAGCTTTCAGCAGAGAAGTGGTTCTGTTCCAGTTGAGCTCTTCTGTGCGCATGCAGTGGGTATTTGTGGAGAGCCAGGGATTGTGATACATTACTACAGACAAAGTAATCAAGAATTTACTACTGTCCTCAAGGAACTTGCACTCTGGGTAAAGTGACTGAAAACTACAATTATGTTATTGTCTGTCAGAAGAACTGAAGGAGGGAAGGTTCTATAGGAAGCACTTCGAAATATGGAACAAACTGTAGGCTCCATCCCAGCAGGAAGGGCTTGAGAAGCTACACTCCTGGTGATCTGAGATCATAATGAGGTGTCCCACAAGACTTGGTACATCATGCATAGGAAAAGAAAACTGTGTTGCTAAAATTTTATCCAAGATCATCTGCCAAAGCAGATCCATAAAACCTCCAGGTTTCAGAGCCAGGAGAGGCGACAGGAACATCTGTTCCCAGCCAATCATTTTAGAGACCCAGAAGCCTGGTGTCAAGAGACAGGTTTTCAAAGTGGAACCACTTTCCATTGGTAGAACTTAGATTAGACCCCAGGGGTCTGGACTCCAGATGAATGCTCACTAGTTTGTTCTATCTGCAGATACTTGTTGGACACCCAGTGTGCCAGGTACTTCCTAGGACCAAAATATGACAGACAATGTAGTGAGTAGAGAGCAGAGTGCCACCTCCTGAAACTGGCTTCCCGGTCTGGAGATGAGCAAATGGATAGTCTATAATGTCCTGGATGGATGTAAGCTCTGTGGAGATAACTATAGCAGGCTAAAGGTTGTGCCATGTGGAATAGGATGCTGAAGA